ACGATTCTGATGGTAGACGTAAATACTAAGCTTGGAATGGACAGCATGGGACGACATGGACTAGGAGAAAGGGATGAAGACAGTGAAAGATTCTCAAGTCAATGTTCATTCAACAAATTGCTTATAGGTAGAACCATATTCCGACGCAAACGCATACTCAAAGCGACATGGGTTTCATCGGATTCCACTAAACATAACCAAATCGTTTACATCTGCACCAAATAAGTTAGGAAAGACCATGGAGGATGTAGGAACAAAGAAAGGGGCTGACATATCTTCAGATCATAACTTGGTGATGGGAGAGATACAACTGAACTTAGGGGTGCACTGGACAACTGGTATAACGACAATAAAAAATTTAAAACAGCCTATCTTCTGGATATCACCAGCAAAATGTCACGGACCTTTTATGATTTACTCAATGGAGAGAAAACTACCATGGAGAACAACTGGAAAGGGACCAAAGAGGCAATAACTTCAGCACGTCATAAGGTTCTGCGCCACAAGAATAACCATCGTAAGGAATGGATTTCTGTTGATATCTTGGGTAAGATTCACGAAAGAAGAACAGCAAGGCAGCATTCAATATCAGCAGAACAAGAGTAGCGAATGCTAAGGTACAAGCTGAATACACAAGAGCGAACAAGCAAGTCAAGAGGAACACTAAAGCTGATAAGCGAAGATATGTTGAAGATCTAGCAAAGATAGCAAAAAACAGTGTGATTGAAGAAGACATGAGAAAACTATATAATATATCGAAGAAGCTTACTAGAAAATACGGTAAACCAGATTGACTAGTGGGGAACGAGGATGGCAAAACAGTCACAGATGTTGAAGAACAGAGAAATAGGTAGGAAGAGCACTTTGAAGAATTCTTGAATAGAGCAGCCCCACTGAAAAATGGTGGTCGTTGGCCTACACTCCATTAGGGGTAACAGGCATATTACTTACTTACTTACCTACGCCTGTTACACCCAATCGAGCATAGGCCGCCCACCAGTTTTCTCCAACCAACTCTGTCCTGGGCTTCGCTTTCGAGTTCTTTCCAGTTTTTGTTCATTCATCTCATGTCTTTCTCTATTTCTCGGCGTAATGTGTTCCTTATTATTCCCCTCTTCCATTAACCTTGAGGGTTTCATGTGAGGGCTTGTCTCGTGACGCAGTTCGGTACTTTTCGTAGTGTGTGTTCCATCCACTTCCATCGCTTCTTCCTGATATAATCCTCTATTGGAATCGGATTTGTTCTCTCCCACAGTAAGTTGTTTCTGATGGTGTCTGGCCAACGGATCCGAAGTATTTTGCGTAGACAACTGTTAATAAATACTTGTATCTTCTGGATGATGGCTTTTGTAGTTCTCCAAGTTTCCGCTCCATACAGTAGAAATGTATTGACATTTGTATTGAAAATCCTGATTTTGGTTTTGGTTGAAAGTTGTTTGGAGTTCCAGATATTTTTCAACTGTAGAAATGCAGCCCTTGCTTTACCGATCGGCGCCCTCACATGTGCATCGGATCCACCTTGGTTGTCGATGATGCTGCCCAGATATGTGAAGGTGTTAACGACCTCCAAGGCATCTCCATCAAGAGGGATTCGGTTGGCGCATGTTGTGTTGAATCGTACAATCTTGCTTTTCCCTTTATGTATGTTGAGACCTACTGCTGCAGAGGCTGCTACTACACTGATCATCTTCTCTTGCATTTGTTATTGCGTGTGTGATAGAAGAGCCAGGTCATCTGCGAAGTTCATATCGTCCTGATGCGTCCTAGCTGTCCACTGTATACGGTGCTTCCCTCCAGATGTTGACGTCTTCATAATCCAGTCGATCAAATGGAGAAAGAGAAAGGGTGAGAGTAAGCAACCTTGCCTGACACCGGTCTTCACCTCGATTGAGTCTGTTAGCTGTCCATCGTGCACGATTTTGCAGTTTAATTCATCATAAGAATTCCGTATGATGTTGACTATCTTCTCAGTCACGCAACAGTGTTAAAGAATCCTCCATAGTGTTTTCCTGTCCTCGCTATCGAATGCTTGCTCGTAGTCGATGAAGTTGATGTAGAGTGGTGAGTTCCATTCAATTGATTGTTCCACAATGATACGTAATGTAGCAATTAGGTCAGTACACGATCGATCTTTACGAAATCCGGCCTGTTGATCTCGAAGTTGGGCGTCTACGAAGTCCTTCATTCTGTTTAACAATACCCTGTTGATGAATTTGCCTGGTATTGAGTGAAGAGTTATGCCTCTTTAGTTCTCACACTTAATGAGATTCACTTTCTTTGGTATTTTCCAATCTGATGGTACTTGTTCCTCATCCCAAATCTTGTTGAAGAGAATGTGGAGTAATTTTGTAGTTGCTGCCAAGTCTGCTTTCATTGCCTCTGCTGGAATGTTGTCTGATCCTGCTGCTTTGCATCTCTTGATTTTTCTAACCGCCATAGTGATCTCTTCAATTATAGGTGCCCCAACATCGATTGGGAAGTCGGTAGATGCTGCTTCGATGCTGTGTGGGTTCAGTGGAGCTAGTCGATTCAAGAGTTCCTTAAAGTGCCCTACCCACCTATTTCTCTGTTCTTCAGTGTTGCTGATTACTTTACCTTCCTTGTTTTTCACTGGTCGTTCTGATTTACGATAGCTTCCGGCGATCTTCTTTGTTGTTTCCTACAATTGTCTCATTTCCGTCTCTCGCAGACTTTTCCGCCGTGATTGCTAGATCTTCCACATATTTTTGTTTGTCAGCTCTGATGCTCCGCTTCACTTCCCTGTTTGCTTCTGTGTATGCAGATTGTGCGGTAACTTTCTCTGCTCTTGTTCGGCTGACATTGATTGCTGCCCTCTAGTTCCTCCTTTCTTCAATTTTTTCAAGAGTATCAACAGAGATCCATTCCTTGTGATGGTACTTATTGTGACCCAGAACTTCGTGACATGTTAAAGTGATTTCCTCCTTAATCCCTTTCCAATTGTTCTCCAATACTGCGTCCTCTCCATTGAGTAGATCGTGTAAGGCCTGCAACCTATTGCTGAAGGCTATTTTGAATTCTCTGAGTTTGTCAGTATCAGGAAGGAAGGCCGTATTAAACTTGTGTGATGTTGTCTGCCCCGTTGTCCAGTGCTTCTTTAGTTTCATTTTCATTTTGGCCACCAGCGATTGGTGATTTTATGTTATATCACCTCCTCTCTTGGTTCTCACAACCTGCATGGTCCTCCTGAACGTTTTGTTGATATAGATATGGTCGAGTTGGTTTTGAGTGGAGTGATCCGATGAAATCCATGTACCTTGCAAATCTCTCATCTTTTTAGTTCCTTTCTCCCAGTCCATTTCGTCCCATGATGTCTTCATATCCAGTGTTGTCCATTCCAACCTAGGCATTTAGGTCTCCCATTAGAATCGTCAAACCCTTTGGTGAGCATCTGTCTACGATGGATTGCAACCTCTCGTAGAATTGATCTTTATCGTCTTCATTGTAGTTGTTGGTAGGTGCAAAGCATTGGATGACGTTCATTGTAATGTCCGCTTTCTTTGTTTTGAATGATGCTTTACTGATCCTGAGTCCATGAGATTCCCATCCTATCAGTGCCTTTTGTGCTTGTTTGAACAGTATCAGTGCAACTCCTTGTGTGTGTGAGCCATTTTCTTCTTCATGGCCGAAGTATAACAGCAGTTCCCCTGAAGCTAATCTCAGTTGTCCTACCTGTGCCTAATGCGTTTCGCTGATTCCAAGCACCTCGATGTTGTATCTTCTCATTTCTGCAGCAACCTGGAATAGTCTTTCTGTCTCCCACAATGTAGGAACACTCCATGTACCTAAAAGAATGGTTATTGTGGTTGTCAGAAGAGACATCGGCGCCGTGACTTCCGACGGAACTCGGCTTTCATCACGAGACGTCATAATTCTTCTTCCGACTGCCAGGGCAGAGTTAAATAGTTTGATTTTTTTTCTGGTTTGCGTTTTTTTGACAAGTTAGTTTATAGTTGTGATGGGGATGCCAACCCCATGTCCAACCCGTATTCGTTTATCCGAACTTGGGATCGGCTGTGGCCTCGAACGTTCTGCTGGCGGAGTAACAGGCATATGAAAGTATGTAAGTCTATTCATTGGAAGGTTTAATGCCAAAAATTCATTTTTTGAAGTAATCGTTAATCGAGCACATTATTCACGTCAATTTAGATAGTTGATTGCAAGCTACACTATCATACAATTATCTGTTATAAGAAAAGAACTATCTAGACTGTGAACATAACGAAATATGCGATTATTCTAAGGAAAATTTAGGAAAGAATTTTGGTACACGATAAAATTTTAGTTACGAATCTTTTTATTTGAGTACATAAATTTCCATTCTTTAAAATCTGCTATAGTGTCCAAGTAAATCATTAAAGAACATAAATTATGCTTTGAAATAAAACTTCACAAATTCTAAATAAAACATTTGATCAAAATATCTTAGAAATAATAATTAATATAATCAATACTTTATAGGCTGTATACATTTCAGTTGAGGTACCAGAGAAAATAAAGAAGTAATGTGTATGTATTTTATACTAGCGTAAGTCTCCTCAGCAGTTGACACTTAACATCTAGCGAGGAAATAAATCAAAAACCTTCATATCTCTCATTGAAAGCTTAACTGCATACGAAATAAAGTTCTTGGTTCAATTTATACCAGGATAATAAGTGCCCACTGCAACGAAGCTCCATAGTAGGGTTGAACAGCTGTTCTGTGTTTTGCAATTGTACCCCAAATGAGATCAGTTCATAACAATTTACAACTTAAAAAATCAAACTAATCACCACAAAATTCCATCTAGTATAATAAACTTATCGAAAAAAGAGCATTTATATTATTTTATAGGAATTGACGAGTAAAAATTGATTTATCTTTTCAAACTATGTTAAGTATGTAAGTGCATTCATATCTTGATGTGAACTTTTAGATAGTGAGATTTATTTCGTTTGTTTTAATTGTATATAAATATAAGTGAACAAAATAACTTATTTTTACATGCTCACTTTTCTGTTTAAATATTTACACAGTAAATTGAAATTGAGTGACATTAATTTTAATTTGAAAATATATTAAAGACTTTGTGTAAAAAAATGCAATTAATTTATTTCTATTTAATTACATGTATACCATTAATTTATTGTCATGGAAGATACAGAGATGATGATGAGAATGATCCGTTTTTCAGTGATGGATATCGTCTGTATTATTCAAATTACCCAGATAAACCTCCAGGACCTCCACCACCAGGACCTCCACCACCTCCTGGACCATCGATGGATGAAGGTGAGGAGGAGGATATGCGCTCAGCACGTAGAAATAATAGTCATCCGCAGGATCATAATTATTATTATGACGGTAAACGTCATCATCATCATCGTTATCACAATTACTATAATCATTATAATGATATAGATGAATATGATTATGAATTGAGAGATTTAGTTTTCAGTGGAGGTCATCATTACACACCAAGTTATTATCAGGGTGAAGGTTATGGAATCAACGGTGAAGCTAATTATGCTCCGCCGCCAAAGGATCCTTCAAAATATGATCGATATGGAAATTATTTACCGGATTATCAACAACAACCACCACCACCACCACCACAACCGCAACCACCACTACCACCATTGCCTCTAAAGGTTATGCCCAAAAGTTTACCTGAACCTTCTACTAATGGAGCTAATGAAATTCATCAACCGAAAAGTTTGCCTGTTGAATCACATGATGGTGGAGATGATGGTGATCATAATGAAGATCATCAACCGGACGAGCCGATAGCAACTAAATTTGCTAAAAATCGTAAACATTCAACATCATATAGGAAAAACAAAAAAGAACTTTCAAAGAAGAAGAAGAAGAGTGGAAATGACAAATCTTCAAGGTCACATAGGAAGGTGAATCATCAACCAAGAACGACGCCATCACCAGAACCAGATGAAGACGATGGTCCTCATTCAGGCGAGGATGATATGGAAAAGTAATGCTGAAGGCAGATGAATAAATTTTTTTTTTAAAAAAGAATGTCAACGAAGTAACAGATTGTCTTTATATTTTGAATTCATTTAAACTATTGATACAAGTGAATTGAACTAATGATAATAATATTAATAATTAATAATTATAATTGATATTTCTAAAATACAATTAATTTAACTTATCCATTCATTTATCAGTGAATGATATATACAAAGAGAATATTAGTAAAAAAGAGTAAAATAAAGAAACAGTTATGAGTTTTGATTGTTTATGATATGAGTGAAAATAAAATTAATATTGATGACAAGGTTGATGGTACCTAATAAAACTAGTCAACATTTTTGGTAAGATTAAGAAAGAAATATTATTTCGAAGAATAACAATCTGTATTCTATATGTGATTGAACTATGGTATGGATAAATGAAATAGTTTTAGTATATATTATTGATAAATAATAATATATTTTTTAATTAGGAAAATAAAGGTTTGATTGAAATCGATCATTAGAGAGAATGTAACTTAATCTTTGTGGTTTTTGTATGAACTATCGATATTAGTTAACTGAAAAGTTAGCCAGCAGTTTTATCATATGGAATGCGGTAAATTAAGGTTGTTTTTGAAACAAACTTAACAATTGAAATGTAACTAATTTCAATATTTATCTAAGGTAAGTTATCTGAAATGAATAGTAGCTAGTAGTGGAAGCTAGAATGCCAATTTCGTCCTTTTTGGGACACATTCACTGGATGTGCCTGTATCTTGTGGTTGATGTTGCTTTAAACACCATCTCACTGTCCACTTATCTACTGAGTTCAAATTTCGTTTAGCTTGTACAATGAGGTAAAGTTTAATTCATTTAAATTTGTATATTTGAATCCTCACACTGAGGTCAAAGATGACAATTGATCAGTTCGCGATTAACTTTGCATCACTTATCATTTAATTCGTCTAGTTAGTCTTTATTTTTTCATAGATAAATAGTTGATAAGAGCGTATGACATTTACTTCTTTAACAGTATCATAGAATTATGGTAAACTTTTCGTAGTGTTATCTGATAGGAATTGCTTAACATTCGTAATTAAAAAAGAATTGTTGAAATAAATTGTTTTTGTTCAAATAAAAATATTAGAAAAATTTAAAAAAAATAATTTTAGGGACAATTACTAGTGGAAAATTCAATGGAGTGTAACAGATTTCAATATACAAGTTTACAAAATGCAACCAGAATGAGCTGCTGATAAGTACAATTATAGGAAATAATTCTTTCGCTTACGAAGTTCAAATTTCCCTTTTTTGTACAGACATCTTCCAATATTTTGGAAAGATTTTGACGTATTGCACTGACTTTTTCATAACCAATAAGTAGGTTAGTTTAGTTATCATAGTTATTTCAATGTTCAAGCGTTCAACTCCAAACTTCGTTTTTTTCCTTGTTATCTCACTAAGTTGGAATATTTTCTGACATTCACATTGAAAAACTAATAACTACTCTTAATTCACCTTATACTCAAAGAAATAAATGTCAAATTTTCATACAGATAACTAGAAGATGTCTGTCTTTTTACATATATTGGGAATAGACTGCTACTCGTATAGTGAATTTGAAGCTTGTGTGTAAAAATAATTTTTATCAAACAAAAAATGTATTTGAATAAAACCAGAACGGCAGTTGAGGCAGAATAATATGAATTCACTAAATTTTGCGATATCGGATCAATCGCTTACACCCTAATAAAGTATAACATTAAGATAATATGGAACAGTTGACAATGATGATGGAGGGAACGAGAATAATAAAGAAGAACAATAATAACTATATATATATATATATGCATGAACATGTGTGAGGTAATTTGAAGATGGAATTCAGAAACAGTAATTATGTGACTCATGAATTAAATAAAGTCCGGGGAGCAGATAAGATGGATGGTGTGATATAGGGATTGACGAGGAATTTACATAAATTTTAGAATACTTGGAAATGAATACAGAGTATTAAGAGCAATAAGATGGTAAATGTTTAGATTTAGAAATTGAAGGGTTGTGTAATGATTACGCAAGATGTAAAGAGGTTTACATCATTTTACACAAATGATTAAATAAAAAAAAAAAGCCGATGAATGAAGGGTTGGTTTTGGTGTACAGAAAATAAGAATCAGTTTAGCAAACGTTATATATCAAAATAAGCATTAATGATAATAATATTACAGGACAAGTGGTATGATAATGATTGCTTATCCAGCAGCAAGACTGATGAACTAAAACGGAACAACTAGCTGATTAGAACAAATGAATTCTCAATAACTTTAACTGTTTTTACCAAGTTACTTATCCATGCTGAATCATATACTTTAGTAAAACAAAGAGAAGAGAACCTGTTCGTGTTTCCAAGCACATTCCGAAGATTAGGAAACTGAATGTTGCAGGGACTATGAATCGTGCAACAGCTTGTCATTTAATTGATACCACATAAATCAGTCAAATACCTCAATCTTTCAAAATTATTAACAAACAAAACGCGTCTCTTTACATTCCTGAAGCAGTAAGTTTTAAAAACCTCAACCCTAATTTGTGTCCAGAAATAAACAGTAATCAACTTACCATTACTATGGTACTGCGCAGTAGTTCGCTCCGTCTTACTTTATGGCTGTGAAACATGGCCAGTGAGAGTAGAAGATATTTGTAGGTTACTGGTTTTTGATCATAGGTGTATCCGAAGTATTGATCGTATATCGTGGGACACCCGAGTGAGCAACGCTGTTATTAGGAAACGGGTGCTAGGTAAGAATGGCAGATCAATAGATGAAGTAATGAAACTTCATCAGTTGAGGTGGTTGGGACATGTGTTGCGTATGCCCAACCACCGACTGCCTCGTCGAGCTTTGTTTTGTAGTGTAGGAATAGGTTGGAAGAAAGCTAGGGGCGGCCAAACCAAAACATGGCAGAAATCCATGAAGTCATTGACGAGTGGACTTAGCCATGTCGGTAGTTGTCGACTACTTGGTTGGGGTCCGCGAGATGATAATAACCGATGGTTAGAGACCCTGAGTAACATGGCTCAAAACCGTTTGCAATGGCTCCGGTGCATTCATTCTTTGTATTCTCTCAAATTCTAATCTTCTGGATTCTTCAACACCTCTAGTTTTGACTTTCTTAACTTTTCTCATTGAATCGTACTTCTTGAATAATATCTTCTCATCCTAACCTCTCCGATTACTTGTAATACCTTTACTACCTCTACTACTATTGGATTTGAATTGACAATTATACCTCTGTGCTAATGTGGTATGACAACATGAACTGATGTACTTACGTACGAAGTTTTACGTTGCATCTGACTGACTGACTGACTGACCATTACTATGGTAAATTCACAGCCTTAACTAATATAATCTGAAATTATAATTTTTTGTTGTTCGCTAGACTAATTCTTATTTTCTGAACACTAACACCAACTTTTCATTCATCGGTCTTTACATTTTATCCTTTCTGTAAAATTATCTAGACTTCTTTAAATCTTGCTCAATCATTACACTATCCTTCAATTTCTAAATCTAGACACTTACCGCCTCATTGCATAGATATGCAGTTATTATCAATCCCTGTAACTCTCATTCCACACAGCATTCATTTCAATTGCTTTACATTATTTCCTATCTCATTATCACACTTTACATTATAAGTGATTGTAAACAACTGATAACACACTATATAAAATATATTTAATTCATAATATTCTGCCTCAGTTGTTTTACTAGCTTTATTCACATTCGTAAACGGAATGAATTGTATGAAATAATAATGTATCATTCTTCAATAAATCAATTGCTTGGTTAACTTTTTGTATAAAAAAAGTGTGTTTGTAACTCAAACAACTAGTCAATTATGTTGTCATTGAAATTCATACCTTGTTGAAAATCAACTCCAAATACTGATAAAGAAGAGGATTTCATTATTCTGTATTTAAGAAAAAATAATTTTATCTTTCAACTCTCTGAAGCAGCTTATCCTAAGTTGAAGATAAAATTTTCCAGAAAATATTTGTTATCATTATATTCTCTAGGTAAAGATATTATGTATACAATAATAGAAATGATGAACAAGATACTATTTGTTTGTTTAAATATACTCATATATGAACGTATATTTAGCTGACAATTTTCCGATTTCAATCCATGTAGACAGATAAAAAAATAGGTATCGATTTAAAATGTCTTATAAGCGGATTACTGAGGATTATATTGTTTCAGTCATACTGGAGTGATCATAAAATATCTGCGGTAAAATTTAACTTCAACTAAACATTTTTATCAAGAGTAGAACTCTAGTTGTTTGTTTCACATTATGGATTGGTTATCGTTAGATAATCGATGAATATTTAAAAAAAGCACACTCAACAGCTTTTTGTTCTAGTATTGGACTACTGAACAGTACACATTGATAACCGTAGCAGAAATTGAATTCAAGATCTTCACGTCTCAGTCTGAGCGCTCGATGTGTACACCATTGAGTTCCTGTCTACTGGTTCATATTTCCGACTTTGATCAACTCAAGATATTAAACAGCCATCTTTATATACTGTTGGAGATAAACTTAAAATAATTGAACAACAGCTATAGTGTTAAGAAAATAGGTGATAAAGACACAGACTATCTTTAATTAAATTGTCAGTAAACATTGAACAAAATTTAAAATATATTTCATGCAGTTTTCTTTAATTTCGCGCTTTAACATTTTCTTTTTTTTTTGTTTTTTGTATTCGACCTACATCAATCACATGATTATATTTCGCATTAAATATTCATATAAAGTTCACTGAGAACATTTTAATTTTTTTAAAAAATAACAAATTATCTTCTACATTTAGTGAATAATTTTTTTATTGCATTAAAAATTAATGTTTCACAAATAAATGAATAAATTAAAAATAAAACTAAAAATGCTCATTGTATATATGATTATTTTAATAGGAATTATTACTTATGTAATTGGTCGTGTAGTAATTGAAACAAAAGAAAGTGTTACTTATAAAACAATTGGAGATGATTCATTTAATTCTACTGATGATTTTCGTAATACAACATTTCCTGAGGAATTCGATACATTTTCTGACAAATCACAATTGTCAAATAAAGATGCAACAGATCCATTTAAAGAAATGAAGTTCTCAAATGAGGATGATTTCGATAGTAACAAAGATAATGTTGATTGGGATGACGATGATGATAATGATGATTTTAATTATAAATCTGAAATTAATGATGTAATATTTGGTAACTCGAATCAACATCACAAGGTATTCAAAAATATCAGCTCTACAAGACAGAAACATAACAATACATTGAATGCACAACTGAAGTTAGAAAAACAAAAATTCACTAACGACAGTAATACAACTCCAAGTCCTAACGAGACAACAACAATGGAAAATGGAAGTTTAACAACGACAACAGTACCGATGACGCCAAAATAAGAAAATGTAGAGAGTTGACATGATGTTATACTGTTATTTATTGATTGAAAATACAAAGTAACTATGTTTTTCAAAAAAAATGAGTAAAGAGTAAATGGCATTAGTGTACTTAAAATTGTGGAAAATAGTGTGACTTTTGATGTTTTGTAAAGGTATCGCACAGTTCGTAGACTTGAGGCATATCTCAATGTTGACCAGATACACAAAGAGAAGTGTGAAGAGATAAGATAAGTTTTTCAGTAAGCTATCGTCACAGAATAATGTTTGCTGTTTGACAATTAAAAAACCTAAAGGTATTAAAAAAACTTTATCCGATGATAACGTTTATTAGTAGTGTCAAACCAATGAACTTATTTGGAATATATATTTAAATAATCGAATTTGGTGACAGCAATAATACACTTGAATGAATAGTAAATCTTTTCACATAAGAGCACTGAAAGGGTTTCGAAAAGCGGTTTTATTGTTTTTAAAGCCTAGTGTTAAAATGATAGGTATTTGTACCTTATGAAACTATGATGAAAAAACGTTATAGGACCTCTCTTCTGTTAACCGACGGATAATCATGACCAAGATTCTCAAACGCTTTACAACCGTTATATCCAAAGGTTTTTAAGTTGGGATAATAAAGTCATCTAAAACTTTCATATCAATGCAAGTTACTGATGACTGTATTCAGAGTTATAGTTAACACTATTATTGTTAGCAGTGTTCTCACGATGTTCTTAAAGTGTACTTAATATCCTAATCAAAAATGTTTACAGCTGTTTGCCTAATCTTACAGTTTACTAGAAGAACGTTACCCATTTAACATCGTAGACAAGAATTTGATGTGTAGATAACTATTCAATGAAATCTCATTCAATGTTATAATTTTTTTTGTTTGCATAAAATCCTAACGCTAATATCATACCAGGTGATCATTATTGTTTTAAATCTTCTTTTTGAAAACTTTTATTAAATACTAACTGATTTGCCTGAATAGTTTGAGATAAGATATGATCGAATTATAATTAGTGATTAACTTTGAAACTATATTAAAGTAGATAATTATGTGATCAATTAGATTCTATAGTGTCTTTCTAAACGATATATCCGTAAAATAAACTGAACTACTTCCACTTATCAATCTATCATTCATGTGTATGCTTTGTTTGAGTAAAACAAACCATTTACATACATCAACTATGCAATTATTCAAATCTCAGTGCAAATTGGTTTTACTGCTACGTAAATTCGATTCATCTATCTATGAAGAATGAATGAAAAACGAATAAAAGAGTTGAACTGCATATATTCTGTTGAGTGTATTGTAAATCATTTATTTAGTTAATAAGTAAAATCCGTTTAAGCACACAGACGAGAATAAGAAGCATACAAGCAAAGCGAAGCAAAGTAAAGGCGGATAAGCCAACTCAAAACGATGAAGCATGATTAAGCATTTATAGTCAGTCAATATAAGCTAGACATGTAATAAGCGAAGTAAGAATGCACACACACACACACTCGAATAAAAACAACCAAGGTTATAAGTGAATGATTGGCAAGATCGAAAGACGTGTGAATAACTCTAGAAGAATGGATTATTAATTTGTCCAAAGGCTGGGCAAGGCTGTTTGCGCTTGATATAAAAGTACATGCATGATATCAACGTGATGAATGTGTTAGCGATGAACAACATTATGATGAGCATCCAATGACTCTTTAACCAGTCAAGGGTGCAAGTTAAACGGGTTTTATCATTTGGGTAATTGATAAGCGGACTAACAGATATAATCAGCGTAGAGCCTTTCACAGAGGTGTGTTGGCCCAAGTCAGATTAGCACAACTAGAAGAAGCTAATAATAAGATCTAAATAATGTAGTATTAATGATAAAAAGAAGGACTAAACCATGGAAACATGATTTAGGAAGATAGATTGAAAAGGTTTGTATGAAAATATGTCGGAAATCAAGTTCAAAGGAACACAAAACAAATGCATGTGTGACATTAATGACGATTTTGATCCGTGTCACCCAAAGTCTCTAACCATTTGTTATGATAATTACGCAAACTTCAACAAGGTATATTGCACCTAACAGCACTGACTAGGTCAACATTTAGTTACTTCCTAATATAATCTCATATTTTGTTTAGCCATCAGCAACTTTCTTCTAGCCTACTCTTACGTCAGCCATCATAACGCTTCGAAGTAGTTATTGGATGTCTCAAAGATTGATTTTCCACACTTCGATAGTAGTCAGCGCCTAACTTCAGAAACGGTAACTTGCAATAAACAGAATATACGAATAATATTTCAAAGGCAAGTACGGGAATTAATGATTACGTTTGGAGTGATATAGGAATGGTTAAATCAAAGTAAGTGATTGTAAATTTCTTCAACAATAAAAAAATGACACTCATTACGATGACATCACAAAACAAAGTGATCATGAAATCGATTCAAGGAATGATAAGAAATGTCAATTCCAGTAGTTATTAGGCTAGCATTTCTTCAGTAATTACATAAAGATAAATCAGTGAAACCTATAAATCTCTGATTTATGAATTAATTCATGAATTCATTAGTTATAGATATTAGGAGATAGTTAAAAGACAATTAGTCAAATATAAAGGGTTTTTTTCGTTTTTAATAAATGGGCGTAATTAGTGTATTGCGTTACACTTTTCATTTCGATGATATCAACGAATATTTGAATACGTGGTCCGTCACACAAACAACCAGTTTACATCAGCAAGGTGTTTTTTGATTTGCTCACTTTGATTAGTTATTGCTTGTAGCTTTCTTTCAAAATGTTCGTCTGAAAATTTCTCGTTTTTCTGGTCTAGTTGATGATGTGTGTGATTGTCAAATCCATTCTTCATAAATGATAGACTGGAAACATTCATTGGAGACAATTGATCATCAGTAATATTCATTTTTTCATTTTCAACAATCGTTTTATAACTTTTTGAATCTAAATTAAATGTCTCATTTTCCTTTTTGATTTTTAATTCTGCTTCCATTGAATGATTTGTATTCATGTCTTTGAGCCAAGATTCGAAAAACTTTCGAACAGCATCCTTAAAATGTTGTTGTTCATGTGAATTTTCGGATGTGTTGTAGGAAACATTTTTAGAAAACTCATGTTTATAATATGTTACGTTGGGATAATGTATATAGCCAGCTATACATAAAACAACTTCAAACAGATAAAAATGTAAACCAATCATTCAGTAAGTATTTATTTTAATTATATGTTGATTTATGGCACTAAAAGTATATATATATATATATATATATTTATATATATATATATATGAAATGCAGTCACATGCTAACCAAATCTAAAAGTCGATCATTTGGGATTCAAATTATTCATTCAGATGAGACTGATAAATCACCATGTTGAAATACTTTAGAAAGTTGGAAGCAGTTGACGGCGATTTCGTCTTAGTTTGGATCTTATCATTAAAACTTAGTCACTCAACTTTGCATAGAAAATATTTTTCGGATATGTCACTTTAACACAACGTTTATTCAAGCATAACATTAATTTACAACTGTACTCATAATACAAAATATGTTGCTTTCTATAAATCATGTCAACCACTTTATCACTATTTGATTACAACCGGTCACCTTTGTAACCAAAATAAACCAAATAACAAATTACTATTCACTGTAAAATGTTTTTGTTGTCGAAACTTGAATACTGAGTAAAACATGTCATTTAGTGTAGTTGCATTGATTGATTTATATGAGTCTTTCAGAAGTTACATGCATTTTATTAATCACGTATGTTCATTACAAGCGTAGCTTGTCACTGGCTACTCAACTATAGGATGACTTACTTTTAAGAAACATAGCTGCTAGCATTACATGGATTACTGTTTAGCCATATATATATATATATATATATATATATATATATATATATATATACAGCATTTTATTTAAATTTGAAGTTTACTGGTACGGAAACGACTGAAGACGTAAAGTCATGTAAGTGAATCATATAGGTGAATAGGACTAATCATACTTCTGTAAAGTGAATGACTATGAAGAATTTTGATATTTGATGGAAGAGAGATATAGCTGGAAAAAACGAAATAAAAAAAAGTTTAAATGATAAATAAAAAAACTTTGTTCTACTGAATAATGTAAAAACGCCCGGGCTGTTGTGTACCTAGATGGGAATACTTTGGAGATTTAATAATCAAATGAAAAACTTGAAAATATGAAGTCGATTACAGTTTATCATGTGTTATATTCCTCAGACTATTTAGGCATTTAAAAGTTTGGACATGTTTAATGTGTCATCATCTTAATATCAGTTACTATTAAAATAGCTAGCCACTAACAACTTCTTCCTGTTGTCACAACATATGTAGCTAATAAAATTAATACCTATTTAGAATATTTTCAGTAAATTAACTTCATATACGATCTGGTATTGAAAAAATTCAGTCATACTTTTTAGCTGGACAGATATTTGAGACAGATAAAGTTGGTAAACGAGATATGACACCTCTCTTGCGCAAATCTCAGAATGGTCAACATTCCAATTCACAAATTTAAAATAAAAACAATTTATGTAAATCACATTCGTGTTGGTAAAATGAACTTTGAGTATTCTAAAATAGTGATAACAAAGTTATTTAAAATATTCATACTGATGTAATACAGTGACAATTTTCATCAACGTTAAGCACCATGTTATGGAATGTTTAGTTTTTATTAGGTAAATTTACTATTTGATGAAAAATTTCTAGACCACTATGTTCGAATCTATTTTACTTGATTAATCACCATTTCAGATCTACTTTTGTGAATTTCATAGGTTTGTTTCAGGATTCATTCCACACCGCGGTTATAATTCATAATTAGTTAACATTAATTCAACTTGTTCGAAGCTTTTTCAGCATATGATTATAAAATTTAATAAATGTAAGAAAAATGCATGAGTTATCTCACATTAACTGTTAGGAGTCTATCTCAGACATTCAGTCAGTCAGCTACAACGTAGAACTTTGTACGTACACAACATTGCAAACGATTTTAAGCAATGCCGTTCGAAGTCTCTTACCATCCGTTGCTATTGTCACCCGCAACCTAACCAGGTAGTCTACCCTTACTAACATACTTACTCCACTTTTCAGTGACTTCATCGATTTGTGCCATGTTTTGGTCTTGCCGCCCCTAGCTTTTATCCAGATTACCACCACATCACAAAACAGAGCTGAATTGGGTAGTCCGTGGTTGGGTTTATGTAACACGTGTCTCGATCACCTCAGTTGATAAACATTTACTAGTTCATAAATTAATTTGTTATCCTAGCCTTTTACTCTTATCCTGACAACAGAACTGCTTAATTGATGATCCCAGGATAAATGAGCAGTGGTTCTAAGACACCGGTGATTGAATACTATTAACCTATGAATATCCTATACACTGACTGACCATGTTTCACAGCTATAACGTAGGATGGAGCGAAATGAAGCGAAATAAACCTGTCCTTTGGTTAGCCAACGGATATCTCGCCTACGCCATAAGTGACGCAGGTCGGTAAAAGCTAATCCAGCCTTCTGTATCCGTGCAGAGACTTCGTCAGTTACCAGGCCACCAGCACTGATGAGACTCCCAAGATAAGTGAAGCGGTCTACAAGCTTAACTCCTTTACTCCCTATCACTAGTTCAGTTGCCAATACAAGTCAATTCTGAAGCTACATTTTGGATTTCGAGGAGGAAAACCGCATCCCGAACTTGCTTGTATTGTTGCTTAGGGTAGTCAGGAGACACTTCAGTTTATCAACGGATAGAACTATGTCATCAGCATACTCTAAGTCAGTCAGTGAATCTCAGGGTAGACTGTTCACTCCTGAAAATTCAGACGAAGATAATGTTATATCTAGGAGCATGTCGTTGACAAAGTTAAACAGGGATGGAAAGAGTGGACAGCCCTAACGGACACCACTTGAAGTAAAGAATCCCGAAGACAGTTAGCCATAATCTCTTACTCGACCTGTGGTGTTCAAGTAGAGAGCCTGTATAAGGTTAATGTACTTCTTTTGTACACTTTTTAGTGACAGACACTGCCACAGAACTTCACAAAATAAACAGAATCAAGTGACGCCTTAAGGTCAAGGAAGGCAACTACTGTCGGATGCCTAAATGTGTATCTGTGTTCTAGGACCTTCTGAAGTATAGATATCTGGTCTTTACAGCCACGTCCAGGTCTGAAACCATCCTGATTTTCTCGAGTCTGCTCTTCATGAGCTCTGGTTAGTCTTCGAATTATTATTGAAGCCACCATCCCACACACTGTAATAGTTGGACTTACTCCTCTGCGATTGTCAAATGAGGAATTTTGTCCTTTCTTACAGACTGGGACAGTCAGTAATAGAAACCAGTCGGATGTGATTAAATCCGGTTCCCAAACTCTACCTAAGATCTCAGTCAATCTAAAAGCCAAAACTAGACCACCCTCATTAAAAATTTCAGGGTACAGTCCATCAGAATCTGCTGCTATCTCTTGCCTTAGATTTCTTATAGCGTTTTCAATGTCATTACGAATCGGGGGACTTACATCGATTCGCTATTCAGGTTGACTGTGGATCCTGGTTAACTGAAGTGTGGTTGAAGGCCAGTTGAAGTGATCTCTAAAGTGATCTACTCATCGATCCAATCTCCTAGATTAAGAATGAATAACATGCGAATCCTTCTCCGAGATGTTCTCAGTAACTGTCAGATTCTAGTTGTCTACTGTTACCCATTATTTCTGCCTTTTTCATCGTCTTGTTTTCGCTACCCACCACTGTTCGCGATCAATGCGTAGGCTTTTTTTCAGCCTGAGCATGAGCTGGCTTCGCTGTAAATCACGTTCAGAGACAGACGGGACGACTTTCTGGGTATCTGTCAGTTCGGTAGATGCTACTAAAATCCACTGTTTCCTCCTAACCTTATGGTTTATCTTTCTGGCAGATATCACTGTTGTTTCCATAGCTTTATGGATATCGTTCCGATTTGCGTCAGGGTGTGCATCATTTACATGGCTACCTAACAGTTCTTCTAGTTGCTCCTAATATATACTCTTAGGTTTGCTATAATTAAATAGATTCGTAAGAGATTTTCTTTTAGTGTCTTTTCGACGTCCAATCTAAACAAGTGCTCTAGGATCAGCGGCAGTCTTCTATCAAGCCGCTCCATCGGTTGCTGATAGCAATTTAATCTATTTGGGTCCAACGCTCAATCTACTTACTGAGGCACTAAAGTTACCAGTCACTATTACTACATCAGAGTGCCTAACCTCTTGTAGTAGCTTGGAGAGCTTCCTGTAAAACTCACCTTTTATCTAACCCGAGCTGCAGTCAGTGGTAGCGTATGCACAGAAAACGAAGAGGCGACGGACAGTGTCCCTAACTTTCTGAGTTCTTACTATCTCGTTTAGTCGGACAGCATGCAAGTGGTTGTCTACTTAAATCCAGTCTAAGAGTGCCAGTTATTCCCTAGGACTCAGTGATATATCAACGCCGGCGAAGCCACGGGGAGCGGCAGTGAGGCTTCCAAGTAAAAGACGCGTAAACTGCAACGGTTCTTTATCTTGACATGGTGAGGTCGAATAGATAATCTTACTCCAGTCCTGTAAGAGCGTTTCGGAGATGCAGAATACATTGATAGCTCGTGATTCGAGAGTTCTTGCTAAGGAAGCCTGCTGTCCTATTTGGCACAAGGTGTGAACATTGAAAGCTTTATCCTGTTGTTTAGAGCGAGTTTTAAGAAAACCGGGAATAACGTTCCGTGTAATCAAATCGTTTTTGTCAGTGGCACCATGTATACGAGAAGGGCTGGTTGTGGACACAAGAGATTTATTAGGTGGGGTGAGAAGCATTTGATTATGACCGGTTTGGCTTCGTGTGCTGTTACTGGTATGAGGGAGGATATCACTACCTGGCTGCCCACACCATGGAAGGGTATTTCCTGGGGAGCAAGTGTGACCTCAAACCCCAAAGAACACATCCTATTTATGAGAAGTTTTTAAAATGTTATCTCCATTCTTTAAATGGTCTTATCGCCGCATGAGGTAAGGAGACGTGTGACATTGCTAAAGTCGACGAATTATAACCCCTTCCTTCCTTGTGAAAAGGCAGCATAGCTTCAAATGTTAGTTGTCAGATGGAAACCCATTACTGCTATCACACGCCTTTGAAGTTGGCGGTACTGCTAAAACCTAAAACCTAACGTTTCTGCTTTTAGTATTAGCGTCCTCCAATCGACCTGCCTGGCATGGTAGAACCTACAGGAACATATGTGTCAACCAATATAGATCGGCTGATAGGCAAGCCCAGCTACCTCGTTAAGGTGGTAGGTATCGATGGGAGGAGTCTGTCTATTAGAATGATATTGCATTCACGTCGGATTTAGCGAAATGTTTCTTTTCCTCGGTTGCTCTTTTAAGTATAATGTATAATATAACTAACGCCAGTCCAATGCAATGCCATAAGTATTTAGCGGATGTTCTCCACCTTGATTTTATTTGAGAGTGATCAACTGTAAAGCCTGTGATAATTAGTTTATTGACTGCAGGACTCAGTGAAAAGATATTTAAACCAACTGAAACAATACTGTAACAAAACCATAGTGTGTCGTATTTATTATACACTAGCTATTACTTTTTTAAGTTGAATAGTATTTAGTTATGACATTAGCTTAATACTCGATATTATTAATCTGAAGTATACATCAAACTATTCCACAAATCACTGTTCAAATGTATATTTCATTTGATTAAATCAAATCAATTTCATACATCAGTGCAAATCAGTTTAACTGCTACGCAAATTCAATTCATTTATCTGCGAAGATACTAATGAATAAGACAAACAAATAAAAGAGTTGAACTTTATATACTCTGTTGAGTGTATTGTAAATCATATATTTAATAAGTAAAATAATTTATATTGGAATCCGAAATAAAAAGATGATGAGATCTGTTTATTTTTTATACTTTCTTACAATTGTAACATTTGTTTGTAGTTTTGATGACAGTGATCGTGATAGTGATTTTTACAAATACTTCGATTCAAAACCAAACAAACATTACGACTATTCATCGAAAGATTATTCACCGGAAGAATTTGGTGAATCTCATGAAAGAGATCACGATAAAAAACATGAGAATGAACGAAGAAGTGATAGCAGAGAAAACGACTATGATGATTTCCCGAATCCCCATAAAATACATGATACTGATAGAGAGAATAATTATGGTGGAGACTATTATCATGGTTACGATAGTGATGATTATCACCGAAATCACAATGATGATCACTATAATGAAGGTGATTATAATCGTCATAACTCAGATGGAGGCTATCCAGAAGGAGGCTATCCAGAAGGACGCGATCCAGAAGGAGGCTATCCAGAAGGACGCGATCCAGAAGGAGGCTATCCAGAAGGACGCTATCCAGAAGGACGCTATCCAGAAGGAGGCTATCCAGAAGGACGCTATCCAGAAGGAGGCTATCCAGAAGGAGGTTATCCAGAAGGAGGCGAAGAACATCCTAAACCAGATGACGACAACCGCCAAGAAAAGAAATCTGTTGAACATTACGATCGAGATTACAAACAAAATGTATACGACTATCATGAAAATTTATTCAGTAATTGGGATGATTATAAGCCAGATAAAAATACTGATTATCAGTATTACGAACCGAGACGAAATAATGAGGATCCAAATGCGGAATGAAGTAAAGAAAGTGATACTGACCAGTTAAAGAGAAACATTACAATGTTACTATGAAACTTAATAATTTGAATTTTGACATATAGAACTATGTATATAACAAAATTGTGTATTCTTTCTTTAGGGTGACAAAATAGTCATATAATATAATAAGATTATGAATCCATATTTTAAGTCATGTCATCATAAGTATGTAATGAGTTATTGCTAGTCTTATTTTTTATTTCGTATGAAGTATATATCATCACATTAATTGTTGTTTCAAACTGTTTAATGGTGGCAAAGATAATCCACTAAGTTGAACAGGTGAATGATATTTAAATTTATGAAAGTTATATAGGTCCTTGATTTTTTCGTTTGTAAATGAAACGTTTTAACTTTACGGTTACACATGACCTTTGTCCAATTCCAAAATGACACTTATAGTTTACGTTTTTATGCTCTCAGAATTTTAGGATTTCAATTTATTTGACTGATCATTTCTAAGTGAATCATGTAGAGATGAGTGAAATATGGCCTACAAATTAATCATTCGTTTCATTATTACGACTAAAAGTTAAGACTGCTTTCCTATTGCTCACCTATTGTTAATCTACAGGTTGGTTTTTGAATTTTTTCTGTAATAAGCTAGTGTATTTAATTGTTTATTGACAACGTGAATTTTAACCATTCGGTTACGGGTTTGAAATCACTTTTAGTTTGAGCAATCCAGTGTTATCACCATCTGTCACACCTCAGGTATGGTTCAAAGATGAGTGGACAAAGTGTTATTTGGTATTAATAATAACTAGAGCTTTGTATTAACTTTGTTGATTGGCAGACGATGTAAAGATTAATAAAACTGAATAAACGATCATCATTTAGAATACTGATACAGTTAGAAAGTGTTATTCAAACTGTTTTCGGAAGTAAGATACAATACCTTCTTAAATCTTATTGGGGATTGTATTTATAACTGAATTATGAGTAACCGTTATCTTCATCAGTGATTCAAATTTATCCGTTGATATCAATTCATACTTAATGCTAAGTTGTTAAAAATATATAGCTTACATTTTTTTTAAATGTATTTCATTGATGTAGAAAGGAATATTATACAAATGTTGTATGCTGTTTTGAATTTTACTAAAGGTCTAAAAGATTTATCTATGGTATATGTCCTAGTAATACAAAGAATGAGAGAAAATCATAAAAAAAACCAAAATTATGAATGGACCAGCCAATTATACATTTTTATCTGACTTATCTCACGATTTTAGCCAGTAATATGTTTAGCTTTTCTTCTGTTAGTCAGTTTAAGATTGCAGTAGAGAGTTTATAACTCAATCCAAAGTCTAGACATATGGATTACCCAAAAGCGGATTTTAAGCTACAGAATTTATTTATCCAGACTTAATAATTTTTAGTTTCAACAAAAAGTTGAACTACTAAGGTTTAATACCACACTGGTTGGCTGCGGTAACCATTTTAAATGCGATAAACACCACAAATATAGTATTTTGGCTATGAAACACCGAAGAGACATCCAAAAACTAAAATCAGAAGATCATTAAATAATCACCAAACCTGGTATAGGATCAGCTATTAATATTTCAAACAAGATTATTGACATAGAGATGATGAATCTCTTATTGTTCAAACTAAATTCTTGAGACTGAAATCATACCACAACCTTGTCTGAAAAGATTGAGCATTAGTTAAGCACGACATCAAAATTTCTGAGTCTACCTCAGATATACTGGAATCTTCTTAAAAAAATACTACACGATTCTATGCGCTACCTGAATTTTACAAACCAGAGTTCCCTTCATGACTCTTCACTTATATCATGTAAAAGAAATATGGTTGGTGAAACTGTTAGAATCCTTATGCTAAGACTTGTTGAAACGTAGTATTGACCATGTATTTGACCATGGATTTGACAAATAACCCTATATTATCTCTAGACATAACACATTTATTTACAAATTAACTCACTGATGGGAGCCAACATTTACACATGCGAAAAACATCTAGGAAGAAAAACAACCATACTGATCCTACCAGAGAAAATGAAGTAGCTTCTGTTTAAATGTATGATGAATATCTACTTCTTGTTTGACAGCGATTTCTGAATAAAAGAAGTTTCAACTGGGTAGATTTCATTATTATTCCAGTTAACATGATTGTGATTATTTTATCTTTGTATGTTTTGTTATCACCATTTATTCTTGCATTTCTTAAATCCTTTTATTTGGTTGACTAATGACTAACTGATAACTCTGATGTCTATTGACGCTCATTGCGTGGATTGTTAGAACAAATTAATTCAAAGCCTATGATGGATTAAGCCGAAAGTTCACTGCTACATAAAACAGACTTCAATAATATTGTCCTAAATATCAGTGGAAATTTTTTCAATCAAACTATTTAGCTCAAACAACACATAATCATATCATATCATCAAAGCAACCAACTAACCTTGATTTATTCTTCATCAATGAAGATAGATTATTATTATCATCAGTCTAAAATCAATACTAACATTCAACAGTGATAGGTCAGAAATTAAATAATTCATTTGTTGGAGTTGACTCAATTAATTTTTGTGGAAATAAATAAGTTCTTGTTAGAGAAGTTGAATTATGTCAGTCAACAAATAAAATCCTCTAAATGATGATATCATTAAACTGTGTGACAAAAATATAGAAACATTTCTAAAAGAAACAGTGAACTAATATGTTTATATTTTATCGCAACAAAATGTTTTGTAATTTTGTATAGTGAACTAATGGTACAACACTCTTTAGTATTTAGAATTTATAGCAGTGGAAATCTATTCGTGCTGTTCCATTATCCAAGTTCAAATTTTAAATAAAGAATGAATTTCTACACGGGAGAAGATTGAATATTTGGTAGTTTTAAGCAATGATTAAAAAAACCCATTTACTAATACCATATTAGAATCTAATAACGCTCAATCAGTTATGTTGAATTTTATACATCATTATTTGTAAAGGTTCCCGTCTTCTTGTTATTTAATATTCAGAATAGGATTTTTATGTAATGTGTTTCGGTAAATGGGTTTCTTTGGCAAACGTCTTAATATTGTCAACATAAACACTGAAATTCAGGCGTATATATATATCTGAAAAACCATATAAAAGACGAAATGTTCATTCTATATTCAACTTTTTCAAAATATAATCGGAAATCTATGATTAACTTATATCAAGTTAACAGATAAAACACTTTATATTCAATCACATTTTAGTAGTGATTCTTTGGTGAAAACAAATGGTAGTTGTGGAATATTTCGTACTGTTGAACAGAAACTTAGTGGCCTATAGGTTAGGCACCCACAATGAAACAGTCAGGGTCGTGGATAGGTCTGCTGCGCAGCTCAGTTTTAGCCCTATTTTCGAAAAATATAGGTGTTTATTGATTCTTGATTTTCATTTGCTATCTACTTAGGGTTTGTGAGTGGTGTTAAGTTAATAATTTCTTGAAAAACTCTTATGTAACTATTCCTACTTCTGGCTTCAGGTAGGCATTACTTTGTTTGGCTTTTTCTAATCATTAAAAATTTCTGTCAGAATTATTAAGTATGATGACTGATGCTACAAAAATAAGAAATACAAAAGTTAGATCTTTATCGTTATTATTAAATCCGTAGGAAGATTGGTGAAATCACGAAACGACACCTCATTAGCGTACATCCATAACTGCAAAACCGAAAATCAGACCCAAAACCTTTCATCTAGCGCACGAACGTTCGATGTCCAGACCACTGAGGACAAATTCAACTATATTGAGTCCGAGACACTATGTGACCTTTCATTGTCTTAAGCTGGTACCTTCCTCACATTTGACATGCTTGAACTTAACTTGTCATGGCTACTCACTGGAACTAGCGAGCAAACTATAAATAATAAAAATAAGACAAAATATTCTTTAAAAAGTTTATTTAAATCATTATATATTTGTTTAGAAAACTAGTATTATACTTCTCTCCGATAGTTTACTGCTTATTAACAAACAAATTCACGTCAATTTGCATTTTCATATTTGATATTATGACTGATAGTTGTCATTGTTTGACCCACTGGAATATCCATAATCATTTGCTGATCCTTCACCGTTTCCTTCATTATTATTATTATTATTATTGTTATCATAATTTGACGGAGTATTGTAGTCTGAACCACCTCCGTATGCAATATTATCGATTGGTATTTGTCCTTTATTAGTTTCTCCATATGGACCACCAGGACCGACCATGTAGTCAAGTTTACCCCCATTAAATTTAGATCTACCACTCAGTTTGCTCTCAATATTGAATTTGGCTTTCACATTTTGTCTGCCATATGTATGCACTTTACCTTTTGTGTCATAATTGGCAAATTTCCTTCGAGATTTACTACCTTTATGGAAATATGTAACTTGATGATATTTAAGGCCTTTATCTGCATTTCCAAAGGCTATAAATTTACCACGTGTATGTATTCTACCGTGATTATCACCGCCATGATTTTTATCGCCACCAGAGTTATAAAAATCATTATTATTATTGTTGTAATCCCCATTACCATGATATGCTCCGTTATTATCACCTGAATATGGTGTATAAGAATCGTCGGCTAATATACATGACGCGATAACCAGCAAACTGAAAATCACAACACCTTTCATTGTTTTTAATTTCTGCTCTAAATGTTGAGTTTTGTTTTAAAGATGTTTATTGTTTAGTAACGCTTTATATAGTTTTGTAAAATGAACTTTTTTCATTCGAATAAGTGCATAATATTGCGTTATTTGATGAAACAACGACTATGACTAGGGTGCATGGTTAAGTAATGAGTTGACTAAGTTTTCTTTCTTTTTAAAAAAAAATAAATGGATTTGTTGAAGTACATGCAAATATTTAGAAGATGTAGGTTATTGATAAGAAAAAATTAAAATGTATACAGAAATTTGGATAAATAATATTTGGCCTTTTATAATATATTTAAAATTAAAGTTTTGTAATCGTTCAACAGACAAGTTACAGTTGTTAGACTACAGCTCTTAATCTTTGGGAAGAAGAATTTTGAAGAAATTTATCTTTTAGATACAGCTTATCAGAATGTTGGACAGATATTATAAGGGTTACATCTATCAAGTATATCAAATATGAGCATAATAGTTTTACTGGTGATATATATAAGGTCTTTAAATCAAACGATATTGCCAAATATTTTCATCGAAACTGATTAATTTCAGTTTAGTACTGATACTAGATGAACAAATTTTTTTAATATTATCAAGTGTTCAGCTTTTTCGTAAAACTCTTTGAATAGATTATGTGTTCGACTTGACCATACGATCTTTTCTTATGAAAGCAAATTTGTTTTAACAATAGTTTGGAGAGTATTGCATTTGATGGTTTATTTCATGAATCGATATTAGACAACAGTTGAAGATCATAAGCCAATGAACATTCGTCCCATTCGACTATAGGATTCCTCAGCATAATGCATCTCACCTACCACCAGGAGCAGAATGTATGAAATTCAGGTTTTAATAAAATTTTCCAATTTACAGATTACTAACCTGGGAGATTCAGTAGTTTATATTTCTGTTTCATGATATTGCTTGACCATCAACGACAAAACTTCCTGATTCGTCTTGCTACTATCACTTCTTAGTGTAGACTATAAAGATCAAGTTTGTTTTATAGTTACGAATTTTTTTAAAAACTATGCCGAATAGGTTAATTCTTAACAAAATTATTCATTTGTGACATTTCAATGTTCAATCACTTGTATTTTATTTATCGTAACTAATTATTTTGTCTCACAGTTTCATCAAGGCAAACAGAACAGGTTTTTTAGAGTTAAACTTATTCAACGATATTCATCAACCAGAGCGTGGAATAAAATTAAACTCAGATTGAACTGTTTCGAAGAACCCACTACTTTTAAAGTTACAATTCTAAACTCATGTTACGTATGCATTAACAACAAAAATGCTAAGAAAATCTGTTTCGAATAAAATTTACTACAGTCAAGCTGAATGCTTATTATTTTTACAATCGTGCAAGAATGAAACTTATCAGGTGAGACAGATTGCCTGAATTTGCTACATTCACTGATATTCATTGATTCAATTGCTGCAATAGAGGCAAATCAGTTTTCGTGCATCAGAAAACCATCCGTTTTGGCTGGATAAACAATAGGTATAGGTGATTGGCAGAATTATTCTCGTTCATTTGATGGAAACAGGACATGAATTTAGCTTAAATAATGCCTTTAACATTATGCAGAATATTCCACTCAATTTGTCGAATGTTTGGCTAGTTTATCGTATCACCGATCTCTACGACTTTAAAGTTGCACATTTAACACTCTATTCCATGTTTACCATTTATTTATGATGAATATGATTGGTTGCTCTTAATTCAATAATTGTAGCGAAATATAATGAGAAAAAAACCTGATTTCGTCAGATTCAACTACCTCTTGGCTCGTTTATGTAATAAAATTCATGAGCTCACTGTTCATAAAATCTAAATAAGTCAAATTTTATAAATATTTCGCAAATAAATCAAAATATGCTTACGGAAATTGTATTATTTTCATAAATAAATGAAATTTTTATTCATTTGACTATCAAAAAGATTCTATACCATTTGAATAGTGTTAGAAACGCAGTGTAGGACTTACGATTCGTCATTATTGAGACTTATCAGATAGATAGATATACTCAAACTTAAAAGCACTTGTTTGCATTGACAATCCATAGATGTGAACTCGTTTAATGGGTATAGTATATTTTTTATTGCTTACTAAAATTTACAAAAAATTCTTGTTGACATTCATAACTATATTTGATTTTGTATTTGCCGGGATATAGAAAGTTTAAAAAGTAACTTCGATGTTACCTGCAGCCATATGTTAAAAAGTTACCTCTTCATTATCATAGCCAGATTTTGAAATAATTCAAACAATTTAGAATCAAAATGTTGAGATTAGTTTTTTGTTTATGCATTAATTAATTTTGAAGTAGTTGTCCATTATTCTATAGTATTTGGTGTTTTTACAACTCATGTTAGTCTGTGACCAGAATTATCTCTGATCTATAAGACACTGACTGCACAAATAAGACCTAAGCTTAAAATATTAAATAAAAACTTATTCAGTAAGATATCTGACGTAAAAACATCAAGAGACTTCCGAGAAAATTTAATGGCACAAGTAATTTAACTACTTCATCATCAGTTCATACAAGATTTGTTCTCTAACAAGGTTTTCATGATTAAATAATATTGGCTGAATGATCGTTAAAAAATGCAGATGAATTAAAAAATTCTTTCACTTTTTTCTTGAAACATTTTCGAAACTCATGCTCAAGACAGAACATAGAATTTTGTCTAGAACCTTTATCATCCTGAATAAGCAACGTACATGTAGCCACCGAGTTGAAATCTAGTAGTTTAGATTATTAACAATCGTTAAACTATGATATATCACAATCTTTGGCTAATATAGACACTAACATCGATGGATGCCGGTCAAGCGGCCTAGAGGTTAGGCGTTCGTGCGCAAAGGTCCTGAGTTCGAATCCTGCAAGTTGCAGGAGTTGTGGATGCGCACTGCAGTTCAGTCCCATACCAGGACGAAACGGCCTTCCAGTGCTTCCAGGTTTCTAACGATGCTCTAACAATGATTGAGTAATGATTTTAAGTTTTCTTATGCTTAACCTGTTTTAATTCTACTTATTAAGACACACTAGAAATTCATAACATTCATTTCTCAACCAATTATCTGTAAAAAGAACCAAATTTAATATAGCGTTTTAGCATTAAACTTTTGAACAGTTCCATATTAGAATGTCCACTAATCTCCTTGCTAAGTAATGTTTATTCAACTAAATTTAATTTATTAGTCAATCCATTTCTAGACTATACAACTATGTCTAACAAAACACTTAAATAATGTATCATTTAAATATATATTCTGATATATATAAATTATCAATATAAATGAATAGCGATTATATATTATGACCAAATGAAATATGATTATGTCATTAAAATTTGCACTTATTTTGTGTAGTTTTGTTTGCAATTAAAGTTCATTTAATCTTTTTCTTTTTCATCCATATACAACATGTATTATTTTTACTGATGTACTTAATTATATAATTATTAATTTTTTTTATTTATTCCCAAAATAGTTCACTATACATACATAAATAATATATATATATATATATACCTTGTTTAGCAAATTTTATTTTAATCTTGTATTTACAAAAAAAAATTTGTGATGAAAATTCTAATTATTTGTTTCATTGTTTCTACACTAATTTCTATGACCATTCAATATGGTCAACAAACATATCCAAATAAACATCGGAGACAATTATATCATGCATATGGTCGTATTAGTAATCATAACAAAAACGATCATAATAACAATAATAATAATAATTATTATTATCATTATCATTATAATCGTAGAAATGGTAATCATCATCCATCAAAAAAATATACTAAGAAAAAACCTAAAAATATACAACTTACAAGAAAATATATCATGGAAGGTGAAGCGAAACATATTCATCAAAAACATGGTGAAAATCATTTAAAAACAATTGGCAATTTATTCGGTTTCAGTGATACATATCAAGGATCAGATTATGCATTAACAACAACATTTCATCAAGGTAGTGTATCTACAGATAATGGTCAACCAAAATATTTTTCCACTTATGATACAGAAGGATTAATAAAACATTATCAAAATTCACATGGTCGTGCTAAATTCAATGTTAACGCTAAATCACATGGTCATGAAAAGTATAAAGATCAAAAAGAAATGAAAGCAGTTGTAACATTTGAAAATAATGATTATACCATTGATGATGAAGCAAATTATTCACCAACAAGTCATCCTTATGGAAAATTAGAAGGTTATTAGAGAAAAAGAAAAACAGTGAACATTTTTATTTTAAAAATGAAGAGAAAAATTTAATAGAGAAATAACCATTAAAAGTCAGTTAATTGAATGTATATATAACTAACTATCAAATATATTAGAGTACTCAAAAACTGTATGTGTTATTATTATGAAAAGTGAATAAATCTAATGATAAAATAAGTTCTTTCTAATGGTCTTTTTAAATGTATAAAATTTTTAACAAATTATCTTTATTTTAATTCAACTGCATAGAAAACGATACCGTTATCTGGAATCGTACATTAATGTCAAGTTTTACTTTATTTTTATTTCAGTTGTCATGTCAGATTAAAAAATTAACATACAGTTGATTATTGAATGGTGATTACTGTCATGTTTGTTTGTGCTAAATCGATTCCGTTGATAAAGTTGTTTACAGTGGACGATTACTGGATATCTTCTACACCATATCGAAATGATAGCTAGTTGAATTTAATGATAAAAAAATCTTTTATCCTTTAATTAGTCTGTAGCCTTGAGAGGACTTTAGGGTTTGAAATAGTATCACTCAACTTAATAATCTGAAAAGTAACTAATAAGTTATTTAAGTGTTTACTAATTATCTACTGTTTTATTTATATCCGACATTGTTCACTTTAGGATGGGAAGAAGAAGAATAGAGTTACTTACTCACTTACTTACGCCTGTTACCCCCAATCGAGCATAGGCCGCCCACCAGTTTTCTCCAACCAAATCTGTCCTCGGCTTACCTTCCTAGTTCTTTCCAGTTTCTGTTCACTCTTCTCATACCTTTCTCTATTGATCGGCGTGATGTGTTCCGTGGCTTTCCTCTTTTCCCTTTCCTTGAGGGTTCCATGTGAGGGCCTGTCTTGTGACGCAGTTAGGTGCTTTTCGCACTGTGTGTCCTATCCACTTCCACCGCCTATTCCTGATTTCCTCCTCCACTGGAATCTGGTTTGTTCTCTCCCACAGTACATTGTAAGAACAGAGTTACGTACTTATTATTAGAATAGGTAAAAAGTGTACATTTATCAAGTTAACATTTTTTACACACGAAATGATAAACTCATAAGTGAATATGAATTAGAATCAAGAAAAATGACATTTGAGAACCTTAAAATATTACTATTAAATTTTTATATTTCATATTATCATTTTCACAAAGTTTTTTTTAAATTACAGTACTTTCGAATTAGTTAGTTACACTTGCTTTAACGTGTTGTTTGAAAATGTCTTTTGATTATATAAATATTTTTTTAGTTTTCTTAATCATATATAATGGATTTATTCTTTCTATGCATAAAGCGATTTCGTTTATAAACGTCAAAAGAACGAACAATTCAGTAAATATATTTATACTTTACTGTTGGAGCATAACTGTCATAACAAATTTGAAATGGAGGATACAGATTGGTTTGGATTCTAAGCTTGGTTCATGTAAGGATGCAGGTCTGCTAAATGTACATTCAAGGACTAGGTAAGAAAACTGAAGAGGTAGTCAAGTCATGATATGCTATGATATAAAATTGTATTGGACTCGGTTTCTGTCAGTTCGTCATGAGATGTTGGTCAAATTCCAACTAACAGTCTAACTCATCGATATTAGATGTTGTCAAAAGTGGCTGGGAATAGGAATCAGTAATAATTATGCTGTTGTTTTTTTTACATTGTTCATAAAATCGAACGGGCTTCATTAACTCAGAGAATTTTTTCTTAGTTATAACTCTAGATGGATTGTAACTTCCAGAATACACTACTCTAACTTTTTGACAGTACTCCTCTCTTCATTTGTTTTGGTGCCCAGTTATAATAGGATTATGTATGAAACAAAATCATGAGAAAAAATAATCCATATGCTTAGTCTAAGTATCTATCATTGGTGAAATAAACGAATAAAACACTGAAATGTTTCGATTAATATATCATAAAAAGTAATTGTTTCTCAAAGCATGTTTAGAAGCTCTGGTTGTAAGTAATAAAATCTCGTTTTAAGCAAAGAACAGTTGAAAATTCCGGAATTAATGAAGATATTAGGAGTTCATCAAACAAATTATATGAGTACAAAGAAGGTATCGAAATTGTCCCGAAAATAGAGATACAAGCAAAATGATATAAACCTTTTTTGAGATATAAAATTGTCAGGATCAGAGGTATAATATTACTTTTACTGTAAATAATAACAGTAGTGATATGTAGTTATTTTCAGACCAATGAACTCATAGTTTAGAAAAGATCGGCTACCATTTTAGAAAAGCGCTAAAATTGTCTTAACACCTGACAATTACACTTGTGAGCATATTATTCGCGATATCAATCGAAGCTTACTTTTTCTATGTATGTGCGTATAAATTAGTAGCAATATATAAAAGAAATTTCTACAAAATATAGAGACTACAGAAGTTAATTATTATAACCTACAACAGTAAAAAAACATTCGTAATGTGATAAGTTCAATACCTACCTTTCATTAAATATGGAATTAGATCTTAAAAAGGTGACTTATTTTCTGTAGGACTAAATTCTTTCCCTCTTTTCTAGAGATACATTGGCATTTAATCTAATCTTATCGTAACCAGTATTCTTCAGATCTTACTTAGTTTATTTCTGATACACGTCCAACTACTGTTAGCTCGAATGACACAAAAGTACAGAAATTTCAGCTCGAGTTAAATCAATTAAGAAGAACTAACTTATATCATGGGAGAAAATAAGTGACAGATGGATTAAATTGAAAATGATTTAGGTACAAATATTCCAGGTTATCAGTAAGGTTGACTAAAATATTATATTGGGAATAGGAGCTAAATTGAGTTCATTTTGATTGTTTTCGATTTATGACTGCCCTATTTTCTAATGATTGACAGGAAGATAATCGAAAATCCCGATAATCACCTGACCTCTCGCAACTTTTTCTTCAATAAGTAAGAGTAGGATATTCTGTAATATTTCTTGAATTGATTTCCCAATATTTTCTGAAAACATTAATCAACAGTTGAAATCTAATAAAATCCAATTTGGCTAATTTATCACAATGATATTTTTCAATCGTGAAACTGTTATCATGGTAAAAATAAATACAAAAATATTTTCGCCTTATTCTTTACATGCCTTTAAACTGAATTGCTTGATGGTTGTAAATCCGGAAAAGGCAATCTACATAAAGATAATTCATTTAAACATATAAACAACATAACTCAGATAAACCAAAATATATGTGCCACGCAAATCGTTGAATTTTAGTGTAGGCTGGAATAACATCCAAGTGCAAACACAGAGTGCTTCGCGAGTCTTCCCATCTAATCCATATAACAGGGGTACAACGTCTGGAGATGCAGTTATGATGTAGCAGGTGATCAGTTAAAGGTTCAAACTCCATTTGTCCACCAAGATCTTGGAGCCCATATACACCAGTGGTTTGGAATTAGGGTTCCCAACTTCCGTATGTGGATTCTTTGTACTCACTTTAAGTTTCGTCAATAATTCAACATCAGTTTGTTTTAAAGTAGTGAGAAGGCGTATGAATATCCAAGCTAGTTGCTTGTAACTTTTTTGAAGGATAACTGAAAAGCGTTTTTGTTTCAGATGATAAAGTTTATATTTAGATCATAAAACTGGTACAATTAATACATTGTGTGGTTGTGATTTTTATGATAAATTAGGCGGTAATTCTGATATGATTGTAATAATTACATACAGTTACACAGTAAGCAACAATTAGGTTAGCAGTATAATCAAATTTGTTGAAGATATATATATTAAGTAGGTAAAATCTATTTTTCATGCTCAAAAGGAAACAGTTCTCTTTTTATCTTTGCACTCACAACTAGTCAGGTCGATTAACTTCAATTCCTTTCCACAATTATTTGGATCATTTTACAACTTTTTGTTACGCTCGTCTCTAGGTATGCTTAAACTACTACGAGTTCACCTTAGTCGCATAACGAGAACAAAACAATGAACCAGCGTCCACGTAGGCTACTCTGATCCCTTGACCAAATTGCACCAGCAAGAAGTCTATAGTTTATTCTACAGACACCCAGCCAGCACCGAATCAATCCAAGCACTCAAATCGCGTTTATTTATACTCCATAGAGACCTCCTTGGGACAGTCACAAAAACAGAACACTAAAATACACAGCAGCCAATCACAGCCAAGGATTTTCCTGGAGGGAAATGAAATCTCAAGGTCGACTGATCGGTCCATGAAATAAATCCAAAATAAAGATATTTATCAAGCGTGTTCTGGAGATCTAACGTCCCCAAAAGTATCGTAAATATTCATTTATTTTATCACTTCTTAATCATTCCGTAATTATAGTCATTTTTCCAATCATCATCAGTTATATACAATAAAGTGTGTACATTAGTTGTTGATAACTTATTCCTACGCTTTCTAAAAATTGTAGGCAAGTTCTGATGATCGAACATCCCCAACACTTTTTACTACTTGATAATTATGTTAAGCATTTCAGCTAAACTGACTTCATATTTCGTTTTCTAACTATTACTAATCTGATTTCTCCATTTTATTATTCAAACCACTGAATTCAAACCTTATAGTGTTTTTTTCACTGTTCTGACTAGTTTTTCATGTTCACCGTTGCACATTATACTAATTTGAAAAAGTTTATTGAATTTTCTTTAATTTCGAGCGTAATTTAATCAATAAAATTCACTCAGAACTTGACAAGTATAACTCTGGATACCACTAAGTGATTAAACTCAGTCACATTGAAGATAATAAATGTCTCAGATAGCCCAGTGTTATTGCCTTTTACTGTGAATCTGAATGAGTAGGATTGATTCAGCCTAGGCGCATCTCCGAAAATTTTTACATGATGCTGATGGATCCCAAATACCGACTCTATCCAACCACCTAATATTCATTTAAACCATTGTTAGACAATATCGATCAATATTCACATTCAATATCAAATAATAAGGTAAGCAAATTTTGGGAATTTTATGTTCTCATAATACAATTTTAATAGAAGTAAATTGTTTGAAAAAAATCAGTTTATTGGTATGTATAATCATAATGCAATATGAGAAAAGAACTGTTTGTTTCCAGTCAGTTCCCTGTCAAGGCTTTACAGCAGTATATATATCATGGGTAACAATAATAGTAATACTATTAATAATAAAAGGCAATTTATTGAAAATAAGTCTAAAGAAAATTAGATAATGCTATCATTATTATTATTTTTGCATAATATTACCCCCTAAATAATATGCATTCATTAAAACATTTTCAATTTGACAGATAATAAATAGTTTATTTCAATTGATAATCTGTACGCATAATAAGTGCACTCTATATTAGGCGCAATAACATAACAATAATCGGGTATCATACAGAATGAATTAACTTACTGATTCTCATCCTGCACTTTATACGCAATCTCGAAAAAAAAGGAAAAATACTAATTTGTACAGCATAATTTTTCATCTAAATAAATATATATATATATCCATCTATATTTCAGTAGGATTCTCATTTTGTCAGTTATAATAGTGATAATTAGTAATATCATATAATATGCTACTTACTCACTATTATTTCATAGGAATATTGGTATATGTTGTTTTTATGAATTCAGCTTATACATATGGTCATTATGATCATTATGGATTCGTAGAACAATCTGCTTACGATTCAGATGAAGCAATCAGCTTTCCATTGAAAACACTTCGAGGTAATAAATATGATATGGATGGTGGACATGGCTTTGTACCGGATAATTATGGTAATGATTATGATCATTATGATCAAGAGTATGGTGATGATGATAAGGGCAGCGGTGAAGACTACAATTATGGTCATGAGAATTTAGCAGAAAAATCAATGAGAAAATTAAAAGAATTAAAACGTCGTAAATATAATGAAAATTATAATTATGATGATGAAAAAGGAGAACATGGTGATCATGATGAGGACACAAAACATGAATATGATAAACCATATGGAGAAGAAGAGGAACCAACAGCAACAACACCGGCCCCGACTGAAATGCCAATGTCATTCCAACTAGGAGACGAACAAGAACCAGGATCAGGATCAGAACCAGATGGAGAAACAAGATCAGGATCAGGAGATGATAGAAGACCAAGGTCAGATCATGGACCAGAATAAAGTGTGACCTCAGGAATTCGGAATATTAAAAACATACAAACAAGTCATAATGTAAATTAATCAATTGACTGTTTTAATTATATAATATCGTGATTGGGTGCTGTATAACATGATAAAAGAATAAAATCACTAAAGCATCAAGTTTGATTTTTCTTTAAATGATATTTTTTTTGATTCCGATGCATTTTAGCATAGGAGATTGTGAGGATTTTTGAATTGGGTTATTTTTATTATCGTAGTTCTCCATCATTGATGAATTTTAATAATTCGGTAACTTGTCGCATAGCTATACGTTTTTGATTTTTTTTTAAAATACTAATTACATAATATCATGGTAAGTTTGATTGTTTTGTAAATATTCCTGTGAATATCTTCTTATTGGAAATATTTTTTTCGGATGTTAAAAACATTCTAGCTATATATTTAACAACATATTCTGGATTGCATTGTTTTATAATTTCCTTTATATTGTGTCAGGCATTTGAAAGATGTTTAATTTTTTGGTTCTTACTATGAGAAGTACATTCTGAGGGTTTTTTTTAATAAATGTATTTAGTTTTATATTCCCTAACATTCATTAACTTATATACTTCTGTGTTTAAACACACATCAAGACAAAGTTCATCCAATATACCGGAACGGATTTTTCTTCGGAGAAATTAAGAGTGTTCTCATAATAACACCATTTAATGATGGGAACACTATTTTCAAAATACCGGATTTTCGGATATTTGTTATTTGGATAGGATAATATGTATATGGAGGAAGAAACGATTTTGCCAACAGCTGGAATTTTATTTCAAAAAGATAATGTATAACTAAGTAAAACGTTACAGGTTTGTTTGGATTGTTGCTAGTGGTTAAATTGATGATGTGTGAGCTGTTCTGTTCGAGATTTTTCAACTGGATGAACCTTCATCTAAGCTTCAGTATTCACACTGAAACTAAAATCCACCAATCCGTTATATTCAATGGGAGTAATGTTCACTTGTGTGTGTTTATATTATCTCGATGTTAATTTATAACTCTGATTGATCTACGGACTTTGCTCGACCTCACCCATTTGTCTTTGGTAGTTACTGCCTACACCCATTGGTCGCGTCTTCTCAACTAGAACTCCGAGAATTTCCTCACGAAGGTAGTCACTAATGAGCATCGTTACGATATTTTCAGTTAGAGCTTTGGAGATTTGTGTTTTTACACATAGTTTTACATAGTTACTGAAAAAACATCCGTTTACGGAAAGTTTGAAACACAAAACATCTGTAGAGTTACTCACACAGTGAATGAGAATATCTATTGAATATGTTTATTCTCATGGTTCACACTTTGAGTAATCAATTGAAAGACGATTCATCATAAATCAACTGGTTCTATCCATTATCTCGTAAAACGATTTATATGATCGAACAGCTTTCTTAGGTATACATCTGTAGAATTTCCATTAAAAAATGAATAATTTATTATTGAGAAAATATTTAGCAGCAATAAGATTGACTTATCTATCTAAAGTTAGTAAAATAACAGTCTCTTGTGCTCTTTACACTAGCCAATAAGTAGATGATCTTTGAGTGATCAATATGCAACAAGGACCACAAACTTGCTACCCAATGCTTGAAAGACGGCCGAATACCAACTTGCTTCAAGCAAAGGAGAACAACAAAGACCGATGATCACTAGTCCGGAATTCGTTGCCATATTTCATTCGTTTCCGTAGGAACACACAAAACCAGACCACATTGTACTAATAGATGGGAATTACGATTGGTACATGAGTGGGCCATAAGTGGTTGTGAATAAGGAAGATTATAAATAGAATACTGTCAATAAAATAGGAATAGTAAATCATGTGGTAATAGTTTATAGGTTACTAGAAAACTTATACTACTAATAATAATAACAGCAAATATTTTATAAAAGTAGCCTATATACAATAATAATCCAAGAATTGATTTATTAAGTTACTTTTTAATTTAGTCTTCATTCGAATATAACACAATCAATGAATAAAAAATAATTTTAAAATTAAAATTTAAAATTAAAATAGTTTTAAAATTTTTCAATGTATAAAGTTATCCTGTTATAATAGATATTGAGCAACCATAATCTCAAAGTCAAACAAAGATTTGATTTTCATACACTGGTAGTATTTGAAGAAATACGTAATATGTTTCAGTTTTTATTTAAAAATGAAAGTCAATAATTCTCGTTAACTAGTTATAATCAATAAGCGAATAACAAAGGAAAGTTATTTTATTGTTAACCATTGTCAAACATAATCTAATAAGGTTAAACGATTGCAAATAAATGATTATTTAAAACAAATTGAAAGTAGCGAAACTTATTGTTTTCTGGTATATAGAAAAAATGTTCTGGAACAATGTTGGAAAGTCATTTGAGTTATGAATTCTCATTATGGTATTACGAAGATTGCTGTTTTCTATTGAAATCATGAATTAATCATTGTTGGACAGCTATTAGAAACCTGGATGCACTAGATGGGCGTTTTCTCATAGTATGGAACTCTCCAAAAGTGCACAACCACAACTTCTTTTCGCTGGAATCAAACCAAGGATCTTCTGTTTTGTGTGCTTAATCTATGCTTAATCTATACAGCGTATACAATTTCAGATAGTGAATACGAGTGATTCGATAGCAATGCCATATATATATATATATATATATATATATATATATATATATTGAAGTAGCTTAAAATCATATTGCAAATAATTATATAGTTCGTGCTGACAGATTCAATAACAAAGAGACTGTTCAATAAGACTACCTTGACCATGTATTAGGATGAATCAAAAGCTGGAGTGACCAATTAACAAAACTAATTCAGATGTTTGTTCACTTTCAAGTGTTATATGATAAGGAAATTCATTTAAACATTTAAAAATACCACCATCATGATGCGAGCTAAACAATTTTATGAATGATCATCAAATTTAAACCAATGACTTGTGTTTAATCGACTAAACTAATAAAACTCGGATAATAATAGGCTTATAAATTTATTTATTAAATAGTGGCAACGGATTTCTAATGAGTGTCTAATACATAATAAACTGATTATAATTCCTCACATTCACTAATTGATCAACTTAGACTGATATTCACAGGCTGAAAACATCGAGTTAGTGAATACAACAGGATTTCGTCATACATTCGCAGAACTAAATCAGATAATGTTGACGAATGTTCTTTATTTTATGGGACTGATTTCTAGAATTGATGCAATAAACTTTAGTGAATATTAGATTACTTTTGATGAAGAGAGTTTGGGAAGTTTGTCAGTGTTAAATGAAACTGACTGATCTCATTTGGCGGGCCAGTAAAAGCCAGTGATCCTATATATCTTTATTATACGGGTATTGAACTCCATAATGGCATGCATTAAAAACCTTTGTTTTAATCCCTAGCTTATAATGCTAAGGAGACCCACATTTAAACAAAACATCTGTTCATTGCATCCTGATTTTTAGGTGATCTCCCACTGAGACCGGTTGGTAAAAAATATTACATAGAAATTATTTAAAATACCTCAGTTGGTTAATTGTCAAGTCACTCTGTAAAACCACAAGACAGAATATTTTCATCTACTGATTATTATAAATACAAAGCCAAGATAAATGTCAACCGCAATGCGCAAAACCTTAAGTATTGCGCAATACATTTCTTTTTATTAAAGATAGTGTTCCAATTGGTATTGATCACAAAATGTACTTGGTAACTATGTCATATGAAAAATAAATACATATAAATATAAATATATTTGATTTAGTTAGCCAGATAAGTAAAAGAGTTTTGTTTATCTCTCTGAATTTTCATAAAAATGCGGAAAAAGATTAATTATCATTATTTACTACTAACAGTCATTTACATAACATTCAATTTAATATCACTGCAAAATGGTCAATTCGAAGATATGGATCAACGTTTAGATCACATGATTAATTCTGCAGAGAAACAGGCAAGAAATGTAACTACAAGTAATGACAAAGAAGAAACTATGTCACGACATAATAAAAACGACTTCGAAACTTCTCGAAGCAGCGGTAAATATTTCAAAAGGAAACGTTCACGCAAACAGAGTGGTAAACGCTATGAAGGTGTTTTCTATTCTCGTGGTCACTCAATCTATGGTGATATTGATTCAAAAACAACTACATTTCATTATGGTGGTAAAATTAAAAAGTATGGTAGACGTCATCGAACTTTTTCCGATAAAGATACAACTGGCACTTCGGATAGATACGCTAGTTCATACATTAAAGATGACTTTAAAATCAGAGCCAAGTCAGCGAAACAATATGTTAAAGGTTATAAAGGTTTATCTGATATGGCTAGAGAAGATAGGAGTGGGTCTGTTCTTTTTAAACGGAATAATATGAATGGAAAAACAGTAACTAATTTAACTTCAACGTCGAGAGACGTGCGAAACACATCTCATTTTACACAAGAAACTCGAAACAATTGAGAAGTTGCGAAAGTATTCAATCATTCATCCTATATGATAAATGTGGTTTATTTAGAATACAATCATATATATATGAAGTAATCTAAAATGACTATTTCAAAAAATGATAACCAACATATATATGTCAGAATATATTTTAAATTATAGGATAAATAATTTTCGCATAAAAAAAGAAAAAAAATTTGTTTGTTATGTTGCTCTTTGCTAATATGACCTCCAAAACACTGGCACGTTTTGATTCTATAAAAGCATCGTAACTAATCTACAAAGCTGAAGGGTTCGCAAAAATTTATAAGGACTATAATATAAATATTTCAGCATTGTATTCATTTCATATCTACTCAGATTCAATATTGTAATTATGATCGAAAAGAAAGTCTGTGGTAAAGTTAAAATCTAAAGAATCTTCCTAGTGAGTACAAAACCAGTACAAATAAGAGCATTACGTATCAAAAATTGATCAAATGTTAAATTGTAGTGGTTGTGAGAGGACTTTTAGTTTTTCGTTATCGATTTCACGTTCTGAAAAATGTAGAAATACTACAACATAACCCCATTTATCCATTTGTAAACATATTTTAAACAAAGATTTTGATTTGAATATGTGTCAAACTCATAAATAGTTACCCGACAGATTCGACGTCGCACATAAAATTTTTATTAACAAATGCACTGAAGATTTAGTTAGGTGATGTTACGATATATTTATTTGTGGAAATCACACATAGGAGTTATTACCTTTATCTCTTACCATTTCTGCATCCAACTTCTTCGGTTTTTATTAAATGGATAAATTGCGAAGTGCTTTTTTTCGTAGTTTCCCAAGAACAAAGTTAAGTGATTGGGGTTTTATGTACAATTTATACTAAAAATGTGTATCTAATATTGTTATTTTCATTTTGTGATGACAAAGGGCGCTTTATAATATTTATTTAAATCGTGAATCGATCAATGTTAGACCAACATTGGAAACCTGAAATCACTTGACAGCCGATTCGTCCTGGTATGAGACTCGTCAGCCGTGCGCATCCAAGACTTTTGCACGCGAGAACTGAACCCAGGACCTTCGGTCTCGCACGCAAACACTTAACATCTTAACCAGTGAATCCTCATCTAACGATGTTGATGTTCGTCTTGAATCAATCCAGTGACCTCATATATTATCTCCGCTGGGTACCTGCTTCACACCCGACACGGGCGCACTCCATTGGTCACGATCTCTCCCTAGAACACCCGGAAAATTTTCTCAAGAAACCAGTTACTAGTGGATATATGATAATTGTCATTATGTGGTTGTGGGTAATGTTGAGTTTCACTGAGATCATGAACTCATTAATGTACTGATGCCGTAGAAAGGTGAATTTTACAGAAACCTTTTAAGCCTTCTTCGAAAAGCTAAGCGCTTTGATTTAATAACTTTAGCTTGTGAGTAGCGAAGGCGAGAGAGATGGAAAAGGAGGTTAATTGTAAACAACTACTCAGACTTATCAAGTGAACCGGTGTTAGAAGTCCGACTGTTAATGAGACTATCTTTGAAAAAGATAAGGATTTTATTCATTCTCAATTTAGCAGACTGAATCGATCAGAAGAACACTTTAGGGATGAGTTCAACTAACCTTCAGTCACACTTCGGTTAAACGGGATCTCCAGTCAACCTGAATGATATGTTGATGTGAGTCCTCCAATACTTAATGCAGTTGGAAAGGCTATAGGAAATCTGAAGCGAAGGAGATTGACTCCTGAGATTTTTAAGTATAGTGGTCCAGTTTAAGGAGTGAGATTGACAGAGATCTTAGGTACAGTTTAGGAACTGAACATAATCCCACCCTACTGGTCTCAATTGCTGACTGTCCAAGTCTGTAAGGACAAAGCTCCTCTTGTGAAAATCACAGAGGAATACGTTCAACTAATATAGTTTTTCGGATATGAGCTTCAATAATACTAAGATCAGTTTCTAAGATATTGGATTTAATAATACTTCGACGATTAACTAGGGCTCGTGAAGAGCAGCCTGGTTTCAGAACTGGATGTGGATGTATAGACTACATATTAACACTTCAGTAGGTTCTAGAACATAGACGCAACATTCGACGCCCAACAATGGTTGTATTCCTTGGCCTCAAGGTGCGTTCGACTCTGTTGATTGTGAGGTTCTGTGGAAGTGTCTGTCACTGAAAGATGTACCAAAGAAACATACTGACCTTGTAGAAGCTATCTACTAGAAGACTACTGGTCAAGTGACAGCAAATAGTGAACTATCGTCGAAACTGATTACTTCAAGCGCTGTTCGTCAGGGTTGTCCAGTTTCAAAATCCTTATTTAAACTCGCCACTGAAAGCACTTTCATAGCCTGACTTTGAAGTAGCTGAACATGTTGACCATCCCACATGCATGTGGGTCTCATCAATGCTGATGATCTGATGTCTGACGAAATCTCAGCACAAATACAGAAGACTCAATTGCCTTATGATGTTGACAAGTTATCCGTCTACCAAACAAAGGACGATTTTACTGTGTAGCAGTTCGCTCTCTTCTACTATAAATGTGTGAATCATGGCCAAGTAGAGTAGACGGCATTCACACGTTTCTAGTTGTCGGTCATTCGTGTCTCAGAAGCATTACCTCTGTATTCTTGATCCACCCAGTAAGCGATGTTGTTGTAAGGAAGCGCGTACTAGATAAGGATGGTAGGGCAATTGATGAAGTACTGAAACTTCATCCGTTGAGGTGGTTGATTCATGTGTTAGGTATGCCCAACCACTGACTTCGCCTATGAGCGATGTTTTGTGATGTAGTAGTAGGCTGGAATAAAGCTAGAGGTGGTCAAACCAAAACATGACAGAAATCCAAGAAGTGACTGAGAAGTCGACTGATTCGTGTTAGTATGTGTAGACTCAGTCAGTCAGTCAGTCAGTTGCAACGTAGAACTTCGTACATAAGTACATCAGTTCATGTTGCCATACCACATCAGCACAGAGATATAATTGTCAATTCAAATCCAATAGTAGAAGAGGTAGTAAAGGTATTAGAAGTAATCGGAGAGGTTAGGATTAGAAGATATTATTCAAGAAGTATGATTCAATGAGATAAGTTTAGAAATTAAAAACTAGAGGTGTTGAAGAATCCAGAAGATTATGATTCGAGAGAACACAAAGAATAAATGCACTGGCGCCATTGCGAACGATTTTGAGCCATGTCATTCAAGGTCTCTAACCATCGATTATTATCATCTCGTGGACCCCAACCAGGTAGTCGACAAGTACCGACATGGCTCAGTCCACTCGTCAATGACTTCATGGATTTATGCCATGTTTTGGTCTGGCCGCCCCTAGCTTTCGTCCAACCTATTCCTACACTACAAAACAAAGCTCGACGAGGCAGTCGGTGGTTGGGCATACGTAACACGTGTTCCAACCACCTCAACTGATGAAGTTTCACCACTTCATTGATTGATCTGCCATTCTTACCTAGTACCCGTTTCCTAATAACAGCGTTGCTCACTCGGGTGTCCCACGATATACGAGCAATGCTTCGAAGACACCTATGATCGAAAACCAATAACCGACGAGTATCTTCTACTCTCATTGGCCATGTTTCACAGCCATAAAGTAAGACGGAGCGAACCACTGCGCAGTACATTCGTCCTTTAGTCAGCAAACGGATATCTCGCCTACGCCATAAGTGACGCAGGTTGGCAAAAGCCAATCGAGCCTTCTGTATCCGTGCCGAGATTTCGTCAGTCACCAGGCTATCAGCACTGATGAGACTCCCAAGATAAGTGAAGCGGTCTACACGTTCGACTACTTCACTCCCTATCACTCGTTCAGGTGCCGATGCAACCCAATCTTGAAGCAACATTTTGCATTTCGAGGGGGAAAACCGCATCCCGAACATGCTTGCATTGTTACTTAGGGTGGTTATAAGACTCTGCATTTTGTCAGCGTCTTCACCAAGTAGGACTATTTCATCGGCATATTCTAAGTCAATAAGCGAGCCACCTGGTAAAAGGTCTACTCCAGAAAATTCAGACGAGTATAAGATTATTTCTAGGAGCCTGTCTATGATAAAATTAAACAAGAATGGAGAAAGTGGACATCCCTGACGGACACCACTTGAAGTAGAGAATTCCGGTGACAGTTCGCCATAAGTTCTCACTCGACCAGTGGTGTTTGAGTAGAGAGCTTGTATGAAGTTAATGTACTTCTTTGGTACACCTTTCAATGACAGACACTGCCACAGAACCTCACGATCCACAGAGTCAAATGCCGCCTTAAGGTCCAGGAAAACAACTATTGTCGGACGTCTAAATGTGTGTCTGTGTTCCAGGACCTGTCGTAGTGTGAAGACGTGGTCTATAGAACCACGTCCACGTCGAAAACCAGCCTTGTTTCCTCTAGTCTGCTCTTCATGGGTTTTCGTTAAGCGTCGAAGTATTACTGAGGCCAATATTTTAGATACTATATTAGTTAAACTTATTTCACTGTGATTGTCACAAGAAGACTTGTATCCTTTCTTGTAGATTGGGACAATCAGTGATTGAGACCAGTCGGATGGGATTACGTCCAGTTCCCAGATTCTACCTAAGATCTCAGTCAACCTAGCTGCTAAAACTGGACCATCATCCTTAAATATCTCAGGGGTCAGTCTATCAGGACCTGCAGCTCGTCCTCGCTTCAGATTTCCTAACGCTTTTTCAACTCCATTAAGACTATGAGGACTTAGGTCGATTTGCCATTCAGGATGACTGGAGATCGTGGGTAACGGAAGAGTGGCTCGAGGCCAGTTGAACTGATCCCTAAAGTGTTCTGCCCATCAATCCAGTCTCCTGGATTGAGAATAAATAATAGTCCCGTCATTTTCTGAGATAGTCTCACTTACACTAGGATTTCTTATACCAGTTTCCTTGATAAGTCGGAAAAGTTGTCTACTGTTGCCTATCGCCGCTGCCTTTTCCATCGCTTTTGCTTTCGCCACCCACCACTGTTCGCGATCGTTACGTAGGCTTTTTATAAGTCTGCGCCTAAGTTGACTTCGTTCTTCATCATGTTCAGAGCCAGGTGGGATGAGTTTTCGGGCATCCATCAGATCGGTGGATGCTACTGAGATCCACGGTTTTATTCTAGCCTTATGATCAACCTTACTAGCAGATATCACTGCTGTTTCCACAGACTTTTTGATATCATTCCATCCTGCTTCCGGATGGGAATCGCTTAAATGGTCGCCTAACTGTCTTTCTAGTTGTTCCTGAAATATATTTTTCGCCTTATTGTCATTAAGTGAAACCCTGAGAGGCTTTCTTACGGTGTCTTTCCTATGTCCAGTAAGCTTCAAACAAATACGCGCTCGCACTAGGGCATGATCTGAATCTAGACATGTGCCCCAGAACGAGCGATAGTCCTCTATCGAACCCCTCCATCGGTGGCTGATGGCAATGTGATCTAGTTGAGTCCAACGTTGAGACGACTTTGGAGGTCGCCAGGTCAACTGATGCTTTTCCTTATGCCTAAAGTTAGTGTTTGCTAAGAATAGGCGGTTGTCTGAGCATGCTTGCAACAGACGGTCACCATTGTCTGTTCTCTGAGCCGCGACACCATAACATCCACCTAGGTGTCTCTCCTGCTCACTCAGTCTACCTACTTGAGCATTAAAGTCACCAGCCATTATTACTATATCAGAGCGCTTAGCTTTTTGGAGGAGGTCCGAAAGCTTTCTGTAAAACTCATCTTTAACCTCGTCTGAACTGCATTCAGTGGGGGCCTAGGCAGATACGACGAAGAGGCAACGGCGATTGTCCCTATCTTTCCGAGTCCTTACTGTCCCGTTTAGTCGGACAGCTCACAATCGACTATCTAT